CTGCGGAGCTCGCCAAACATTCCCCTGCTCCACCTTCCGTCCCTCCTCATGCCCGTCCCCCCCCCCCCACTCCTCCTCCACAGCTCCTCTTCTCCTCCTCCTCCTCCTCCTCCTCCTCCTCCTCCACATCCTTTCCCTGCTCCTCCTCCTCCACCCCCTCTCCTCCTCTTCATCTCGCCCGTTTCATCCCTCATCTTCTCGATCCTCGCTCCTCGCGCCCCTCACGCCCTCCTGCTCGCCCTGTTCCTCCTCGTCCTCGTCCTCGTCCTCGTCCTCCTCCTCTCTCGTGTTGCTTTTGACGGGGATACTCGTCAGAGTTCTTGAAATAGTCGGTGACCAAGAAATCAACGTCAGATAAACAAATATCGGAGATGAGAGTGACTCTTTTCCTCGTGGCTTGCGCCCAGGGCTGGTTCACCAGCCGACTCAAACTCCAGTTCGATATGAAAACCTCGCACAGAAAACTCGAGCACTAAATAGAAGTACAGAAAACGGGTCACCGGTAGCCTCAAAAGGCAACTTCCGAAATCTCGTTCCGAAACCCGATTTCTACGACATGGGGGTTTAGTGCTCCCCTCAGCGCATCGAAAACACTTCTAAACCAGAGACTTGGCGATAGGGCACGGATGAGACAGAAGTGGCAAAAAGGAATGCTCATCTTGACTCACGTTCATCATTATATTGATTTCTCCCTGTTCCTCTGAGAAATTGCCTTCGGCATCTGAATCACGAAAGTTTGGAACCACCGGAAGCCTCTCTGAACTCTCGAGAACATCTAGAGTGTCCTTCTTGAGAATCCTCGCTTTCTTGGCTGATGTGAAGCTCGGGTCCTGCACCAACGCCCACTGCTGCGTGTTGTAGAAGTTGAGCGTGACCTGCAGGGCTGGACTCTCCATCTTCGTCAGACCGTCAGCAATCATTGCCTCGGAATGCACCCAGCGCAGCGTAGTGTTGGCGGTCTTCATGCTCTGTTTCAGCGCTAGTGCCTCGATCGCCGACCTCTGATCGTTGCATCCGTAGCCCGAAGAACAAGCCCGAGCCACACTGTCGTACATCGCCTTGCAGTCTGTCACTAGGGTGCCGTCCACGAGCTTCAGGTTGTCGTTGACCTGGTGATAGGTGGTCGCCTTCCCGGTCGTCATCTCGTACCAGGCCAGTCTCGCGTACTCCTGAGCCTCGTTCGCCATTGTGCCCACCTGGATCTCTGCGCTCAAAGAACTTCGGGCAAGGCGGGATAGTTTGCGAGAAGCACCTTGAATAACTGAAACTGCCGTCTTGTGGCCATCCAAGACTTTGCGCTCAACCATTGCCACGATCACGCCTCCTCGAGAACCTCCCGCCTTGCAAATTTTCCAGGCTGCATCGCGCCAAGTGGCGAAGATCGGGCCCTCCATGGGCGTGAACATAATGTTGATCCGAGCGGTCTCGTGCGCTGTGTGAATGAGCTTGTTAATCTTCTTGATGGTGGCCATGGTTCCGGTAGGGCCTTCCCCTCCTAGGATGCTCGTCTCTCCAGCCAGCCACGCCGCCCCCTGCGATGCCAGAAACATGGTGCTGCCCAATGCGGCTCTGTACTTGGTCTCGAGTCGGTCGCTCAGTACGGTGTCGTCCTTCAGTTTGGCCTCGCCCTTGCTTAACTCGATGTACTCCACCTTCTGGACTGCTTTGGCCAAACTCTGGAAGATGCTGTAGTCTGCCAGCTGGACGCACTCAGAGCCACGCTGTGTGATGAAGCCTGTCTCCCAAGATCCCCAGTTGCACAGTCTCTGCACCTCCACCAGGTTCTTCTGGCCCACCTCGGAGCTCGGGATCCCGATCACGAAGTCGCCCACGTGCACGAAGATGACCGTCTCGATGTTTCCCTGCTCGTTGTACTTGATCCATAGACAGGGTTCCAGCGTCATAGCTGCGCACTTGAACTTCTTCAGGCCGCCTGCCACTTTTTCGTGCCACTCCTTGGGGGAACGTTCACCAACCCGTAGGCGGCCTTCAGCATCTTCACGCACTCGTCATCCGCCAGCTGTAGGGCTTCACGTAGTTCCGGCACTGGCTGCACAAGTAGATCATGTTTCGCTTGAGTAGCATCTCCCTGCAGAGATGCAGCCTTGACGTCGCCCTTGTAGTTTCTGAGCTTGTTATTCGCCATGAGCTGTAAAGCCAGATTCCGTCCTCGGGATGAGATCAAGGGCTTGCCTTCTCGATGGTCGCCAGCCGGGGATCTTGAAAACCCACGAGGATGAGACGGGCCTTTACCTTCCCTTCGTCCTTCTGGATAAGGTGCCACCGCATCTGCATTGGTTTGATCCCTTCCTTCTTCAGAGCAGCCTGGCACACCTCGCTGCGCACCAAGCTGTTGACCTCCACCAACTTCGCCTGCGCCACCATCGACTTCACCTCTGAAGTCGCCTTTCGCATGTTGATCTCCACCTGGCCTTTCTTCACTGCATTCTTCAGTACTTGCTTGGGTCTCTCGCTGAATGCCGCCAGAACAGCTACTTCGAGTACGACCTCCATCATGTGCACTCTTTTATCCTCCTCCAAAAATGCGAAGATGTCGGACACTGCGAGCTCCTCCTCCGTCCTTGCCTTCTTCTCTGGCGGTGCTTCCGGGGGGTCGGCTGGACGCCCCCGATCCCTGAGATTAATGCGGATGGAGAACGGCACGTCATTGAGCAAGGGGTTCTTCTTAACGTTGTAGTTGTCCGGCGCTGCTCGTTGTGCCGGTTCAGGTGGTCCTTCCGGTACTACAGGTGGTTGTTCTGGTATCGGTGAGTCTGGCATCGGCACTTCTGACGACGTCCTGGAGCGAGGTGCCATTTCTTGATCTGGTTCAGTGTCGCGAGCTCCTTCGCTCCCCGGCTCTTCGCCCGCAGGCAGTTGCTCTTCGTCTCCCTGTCCCAGAGGTTCCATCTCCACATCTTCAGGTTCTCCTGGTTCTGATGCCGCAGGTTCAGGTGGCTCCTCTGGTTCATGTCCTGGAGCTCGCCGTTCATCTCGATCGTGGTCGACTCCATCGGGTGGTTGCGGTTGGCTCAGATCCCAATATCTTGCCCCCACGTCCAGAGTCTCCATCACGGGCTGTCTTCCCAGGGGCCTGGACTTCTGAAGGGTCGCGTAAAAGGACTTCTCGTGCTCTGATGCTGGTCGTAGCTGCTGAGGTGTGCTGAGGGCGAGCTGGTTATTGAGTAGATCAGGACAAGGTTCCGAAGGGTTGCCTCTCCCTTCTCGTGCCTGTAGAACTGGTTCACGACCAGAGCTGGACCAAGGAACTCACCCTTCGACTTCTTTACCTTGTCTCTCCGGCTGCCTGGCTCGACCCAGAAGAACACGAGCTCGCCCGTTTCCCAAGTTGAGAACATCCTGATTCAGGAGATTGCAGCCAGTCGAGCTTGGCGATCGGCTAGAGCTTCATCGAAGGCTTTTCGAACCTGCTTCCTCCTGTTCATCATGACCTCTGCGCTGGTGCCCTTGGTGCTCTCCGCCTGCAGCTGAACCACTGCCCCTGTCAGTTGTGAATCCAGGAGGTCGAAACTGGCGGCCAAAGAGAACTTGATCGGGTGAGGCGCCGGTCACTTTGAACATCTCCACATGAGCTGCGGCGCACCAGCTGAAAATCTCCTGGATCGGGCACTCGGGGTCAGCCATAACCATTCTCGTCGCTGCCACCTTGAGGAGGTTGATAGTCACCTCCCCTCGTCCATGCGTCCAGTGAGCCTCGGCTGGACCCACTTCCCAATGTATTCCGTGACTTGAGGCCCACTCGTGCAGCTGTATGCTCCAGCAGGGCCCGTGCGGATCTGGCGTGGTCTTCCGAAATACCTGGCCCAATCATTGACGAACGTCTCCCTGACGACAGCTGCTGATGTCTCTCCCGTGTTCCCCTTGTTTGGGGCCGTATAGTGGATGACTGGTGCCGACTTGGCCGATCCCTCATCGATCATCAATGCGCCCCTCGCACGGGTCTCAGTCGCAGTACGAATCCAATCAAAGCCGTCCATTTGCAGAGCATCAAAAGGTTCGGCGTCGATTCCAGCGGCCACTGGCATGGGGTGACGGCGGGCGGTAGCCTCACAAATGCTGAATTTCAACTGTCCGGCGAGCGCGATCACCCAGGGCTGCGCGCCCCTACGAGTCAAGTAGGCCCTCATGGCGTTGACGCCCATGTTGTGCATTTTGGTGTGGATGCTCATCAGCTCCTTCTGTGCCAGGTCTATCGCTCTGGGGTCCACTTTATCAAACTCCTCCTTTTCGATCTCTGTGTCCTTCATCTCGGTGGTCTCCTCCTGGGCGAACGCCGCCTGCACCTCGAAGAAGCTGAAGTTGTCCTCCTCCATGATAGTAGAAGCCCCTTTGCGGCGCATGTTGAGGGGGTACCTGGCCGCTTCGCCTACGCTGACCTGGCCTGTCTCGATGATGGCGTGGTGATGATCGCGAATGCATCTCCTCCTGAGTCGGTCTGCCAGCACCTGATTCGTGGTCACGATGCGCCAGCCCTTCCTGATGAGTTCTCCTGTGACATTGCCCTTCATTCCCCAGCCGCACACATAGCTGATGGACTCATAGAACTGCCCCCATACAATGAACAACTCCGGGATGCTCCTCCATGAGCTGGCGTTGAGGGGGTGCTCGGTGGAGATCTTGGTGCCGAACTGCCTCCGCGCGTAGAGTAGAACCTCCAGCGCGTTCCTCATGACTCGACGCCCCCACTTTCTCATCTTCATCAACTTCTCTTGGGATTCGACGGTATTGGGCCTGCCGTTCTGCAACGCTGAGAATGGAGTGCATGGAAGTGAAGCATGCGCCCATCGAGGTCGTTCTTGACGGACATGCCCCTTCGCCTTGTCGACCGATTACTTGCGGCTGAAGCCGAACAAATTGAACAAGCCCACGCGGGCCACCTTGCCTCCCATAGCTTCCACCTGGCCTCCCAGCGCGCTGTCCGGTGGGACGCATATATCGAGCAGGTCTGTCCTGTACTTTCGTCATCTGGTTGAGCTCCC